CCAGAGGACGAACCAGCTATAATAATGAAAACAACGAGCTAAACTTCACTTCAAAGGACACGAGCTAGATAACACCAGTGTCGACGAAACACTTAGTAGACAAAAAAACCAGAAATTTAATGCAGAAGTGGATCTAAATCTATCACTGGATAATTCAGAATCAAAAATTATAGAGAATTATATAATTTCCGATCACAAATATCAATATCTGACACAAAAAACTGGAATAAACTGGCCTGGGAGCGGAGCGGTTAATTTCCAACCGGATGCTGTGGCCTTGACGTTGATGATTCTGGATACTTTTGCCTCCGGAAACCCCATCCAAGACCCTACACAAGACCCTCTCCAGTTCCAGGTAGACCAGCCTGGATTCACTATTTTAATTGAGGTCACATGAAAGCTGAGAAAAGCTTCACCAGAATATTTGCCGTTAGGATATCGAAGGAGTGGCGAATAGACCACATCATACGGAACGATTTACAAGCAGACTTCCTCCAAATTTTCCCAGAATGGAGCACTGAGGTGTGGACGATGCTTAGACCAACCTGCTGAGTGACAACAGGAATTTCACATCCACCAACTACATAACACTTAGGGGGACTAGTACCTCCAATTCGGAGGACCGAACATTTCGCCGATTTATAGGCATCAACCATAAAGTTGACCAGCCCCAGTGCCTATCCAAGGCACTCTGAAATATCTCAGAACCTCCAGATATACACAATATTCCAGAGCTTGAGATCATCAGCAAACCATAGCGATGGTACTTCAAGGGTAGCTTATTGACACAAATTGCGAAAAGTAATCGATCTTTGCGGAAAGCCACTAAGAACAGCTTGTCTAAGCGAAAGGCTACGCCCCACGCGTACACACTGTTCTTTCCCCTCTAGAAAAGCAGACACCCGTTTAAGGGTACCTCCAGATATCCCATACGATCTCAACTTTACTGAGTCGTTGATGTGGGACAGTATCAAAGGCTTTCGAGTAGTCAACTCAAAGCACGTCGATAGCGTGACTGCTGTCTACTGCCTTAGCCCAGCTTTCACGAGCTAGAAGTACATTCGTCATACAAAAATTCCCTTACGGAAACCGTGTTGTGCATCAATGAGAAGTTTAAATTTATTCAGGTGGTTCTCCACCGAATCCATGACCAGTTCTTCAAACAGCTTAACTACTACGCTTGTCAAGCTGACAGGCCAGTAGTTCGCGGGGCAGAGCATTGTCACCGCCCTTAAAAATCGGACAGCTGATTGCCTCCATTCATTCCGTATGTAAGGTACAGCTGTCGAGCAATGTTGTAAACACGCATGTGCGAGCGCCACTTAGTTCAGCGGCCAATTCATGCATTAGCTTCGGATGAATTGAATCAGGGCCAGAAACTATGGAAGGATTTAGCCCCTGCAATAGCCCGAAGACTTGCGTCTCCACTATGCTGCTTTCAGTTAGGCCAGAATACTCCGGGACTCTTGTGACTATCTCAATCAGACTCAGAGGTCTCACAAGCAAAGATAAGACTATACTGTTCGCTAAGTATACAAAGCTTATCATAGTCAGTACGCACGCAGGTCCCGTCCGCTCGTAGTGATGCTGGTATAGGCAGGTTTGTATCACTGCGCCTATTTACGTAAGCAAAGAACTTCTTTGGATTTGTTACGGCTGCGTCAGCCAAATCCTTCTCGTACTGAAGATGGGCAGTCCTGAGATGTTGCATACATTTACTCCCAATCACTCGATAGCTTTCCTAGGTGCTAGTTGCTGAAGCCGGTTGGTAAATTCGCCGACAATTGGGGCGCTTCCTGAACTGGTATTTACCTGTATAAACTATTTCAGGAGGCTGGGCCGGTGTCTCCCTTTTCTCAATGATTTGGATGTGGGAAGCAGAGATCTCGGCGAGCTTTGCCTTAAATTTCTCCCAAGCTGACAACAATGTGAGCCACAGAGATGGCACAACGCAGAACTGAGGCTTTATCTCGCATTGCCTTAAAGCCTGCCCGCAAAAGATTTGGACATGCCTCAACGGTGGCCTGATGACACTCATTGAGAGCACATCGAAAGGATATGCAGACATGATCCCTGACTGCTGGAGGACAGCCGTAGGCAATACCACTTACGAACCCGTGTGACTTCGCAAAAATGAGATCCAAGGTAGACGGAAGCTGATTGCTCGTGTTTCTAGTAGGATGGTCCGCAAACTGATCCAAAGGCAGTTGCAAAGTTGGCTCGAGGCCATCCAAACAGGTGCCCCCGCCGAACTGCAAGACAGATCAACCCAACAGACCTCAGGGATGTTGAAGCTCCCCAGTATTAGACACTTATTTGAAGCCTGAGCATGAATAAACTCAATACTCTTATTGGAGGTACTTCCAGGACTTCGATATACCACTGCAACTGTCAGCTGGTTAGTAGAAGTGCGCACAATAGTCGATAGGTCTTCAAAAGTTTGATCCAGCGACTGAAAAATAGAGGTCGTCAACACATCCAGTTTACAGCTTACATGAAGAGCGACGCCCCCACCTTGGCGGTCAAAGGAGCGATCACATCTAAGCAGTGCGTAGCCAGATAAACATACTTCACTGTCTGTTACCTACGGGGACAACCACGTTTCAGTAAAAGGGAGTATGTCGGGACGAGATTTGTCTACGAGTAGACGCACCTTGTGTAGTTTGTTCCTTAGGCTACGCACATTGCTAAGCACTACCCGAAAGAATTCGGCACGACCATACCTGGGTCTTAGACTACCAGAAGAGGTTATCGTAAAGCAGATTTCAACTTCCGACTGCCCATCTGAAAACCTACAAGATGGAAGTCTTGCGCACCAGCTGCCCGCCTGGTATTGAGGCTTTTGGTGGCTTCCTTCAACTTCAGTCGATCTGTCAGCGGGAGGTCCGACTGAACGCTGACATTGCTACTCTTACGTTTGCATGCAAAGCGCATTAACGCTTTGCGTTCCTCCGGGGTTGAGAGGACTACACGAAGTAGTCGGGGTCGCGAATTTGGCGTATCGACATGGACGTTCCCCAATCTGGTTAGCTTTCTGATAGTGACACCAGGAAAACCATGTGGAAGCATCTTCTTGACGCAGAGGTCATTGAGTATACTTTCCCTGGGAAGAGCCGCCGCGGATTCAACAACTTTACGGAAGATAACGCCGCTATCAATAAAAGACTCACCTCGACGAAGCGTATTCAATCCACGCGTCTTCGACTGGAACCCAGTTTTGATCGGTTTGGCAAGTGACACTACGCGTTTCTTCGCCAGTTGGGATTGTAGCATTGAAGTGGAAGTGAAGATAATGCGTAAATGTGTGGCTCCATACTGGATATGTATAACTCCCGTATCATACGTTGGCAATGGGGTTTGCCAAACTACCGGAACCAATAAGCGGAGAGATAGCGACTCTTTTGGCGTGACACGTTCGATTTGGTCGATAGCATTAGAACTCAAAATGTGTATATCGAGCAGCTGTTTTTGATCCATGTGACATCATTGTTTATCAGTATTTCTTTTTGGGAGGCTACCGATTTCTTTGCTCAATACATCGAGCGCGCAGGTAAACAGCTATGCAAACCGTCTTAAGAACTGAAGGCTGCTTCACCGATGAATTCACAAGCTCAGATTTCGCTTTACCAAATTTGTGTTTCGACATCACCATCTTTTAGTTACACAATCCACCTTGTTACCTTAAATAACTAAGTGTTGTATATGGTCTGAAGACGAACCGCAGAAAACGAGCTTTTTTTCTGGATTGTCTTATCTTGACTGGAACAGAAAACATTAGTCATTCGATTAATAGTTTATTCCACAGATTTGCGCATCTGATCGGAAAGAGATTGGAAGTCATGGTTGTTCTATCCTTTGCAATTGGTAATGTATGATCTCTGTATTAAGCTTCCGAATTGAGCTTTATTGACATATCGTCAGCAGCCACGCTCTTCTTGGGTGATTTAGGCAAATCTTTGTTGTTTCCACTGGCTACTACTTCCCATACGTGCCATTCTCGGCGCTTACTCATGTATGTTTGAGAAATGCTCAAGCTTGCAATATGACCGTGCAGTCATGGATGACTGAGACTGTACCTATGGATCTGTGACTAGTGTCTGTCTTTCTAACTTGCATAGTAGGTGGTCATAGAAGACAGTGGATCTGAAAGCGGTGTACCCATCCCTTATACGTGTCCACGAAACTTTTATAGTTAAATGTGGATCGCAACTTCTGGTGTGGTTGGAACTGTTACCTACCTATTTTTAATGACTTACACTCCTAGTTCCAACTCGAGTGTGCCCGATCTAGCTTCTGGACCATTCTCTGGGACAAGAGCTATACGCTATTGGTTACCTTAATTTCTGCTTCCTTTGTATACAATGGACTGCACTTTTCTCGTTTTGTGCATTCGTTTTTACTGAACGATATAACTGCTTTAGGTGGGAACCACTTTAGCGAAACTTGATCCCGCATACTTGTTACCTGGGTGTGAAACCCGTAATAGGATTTAGCACTCAGGCAGAGTAACTGGCACGTTAGCTATGAAATTCAGAGGTTAGCTTTGACTAGTCGTCTGTTTGTTGCGGTAGATGGCTGGTTGTACCCACCTTGATGCCAATTTGCCCTTTGAAGCGCGAAAGTGACCTTCGCAAAGCTATGTTTAGATTGTCTCACCACTTTGTGTGTTGATAACAAGTTACGAGCAACAAAAAGTTAATTGTTTCACTTCCGTAAATCCGCAGCTACTGTTCGCTATTTGTTCTGCGCTTTTAGAGGCCTCTCGACAGCGAAAGCACAAAATCAGGCATGCAATATACGTATGAGGAACAGCTACTTTGTGTGTAACTGGTTTTATCAAATTAGAAATTTGTGTCAATCCAACAACTGTAAAGTTATTAGGTGGTTTAAAATAGTTGCCCTCTACTTGTGTTTCCTGAAAACAATTTCGAGCTGAAAATGAGATATCTGTGATCGCTTTTTTAATCTGTATAATTAACTGACGTATCGCTGTATTTCAGCTATCCCACAATGCAAGAATTGGCGGAAGGCGTCCGGATTGTTATGGAGAAAATGGAGTGAGTGATGTTAGTGGTCACAGAAATGATCCACCTTTAATTCTAGACGAGTGTATACTGTTGCGAGTGTTCGAAATGAATTGGAATATTGGTAGCTCGGGAGGCTTGCTCAGTTGTTGTGGAGTTCTCCGAGCTGGGCAACTTGGTTGCAGACGTTTCGCCACCATTCGAGGTGGCATCTTCAGTGCGGGATTGATAGCAGTGAAGTAGCAGTAGCTGGTAGAAAGCAAAATGGATGATCCATTATTGGGTTTGCTTTCTACCAGCTACTGCTACTTCACTGCTATCAATCCCGCACTGAAGATGCCACCTCGAATGGTGGCGAAACGTCTGCAACCAAGTTGCCCAGCTCGGAGAACTCCACAACAACTGAACTGTTGCGAGTGCTAAACGAAATGCAGCATAATTCATGACTAACCCTATGATAATAAATAACGACGCTTGCTAGAAAATAAAGCGATGCAACACACCAATAATGAAGGCGTTCTTATAAGTAATGCGGTTGAACTTGACTAGTATATGGACAATTTTCCAATATACCGTGCAGTACGCACAAGTATCGCAACATTCACATCTCGGATCGAATGTTCTGTGACGTTCTAAATCCACCATCTGTTTGAGCAGCGAAGTGACTTGGCAACGATAGACATTACTCTTTTGCTCATGTGTGTACAGTGTGATACACGAATCTGTATAAGCTAAGGTCGTGAGTATTGCTACAACTGCTGTTAGTCCAATTGCTGGTGTTTGTCTCTTGTTCGCAAAAGCTGCACCAACCTTCACGTAGCATAAGCCACAGGCTCAATAAGTCGCATGGAAGCATGTGTGTCACACTAGTCAAATAAGCAATTCCTAGACTAACCGCGTGAATTCTCCCCGAATGGCTTTTATTTCTTCATTTAGTCTATCCAGACAGAGATCCTGGCACCCTCTTAATGGGCTGCCAAAGTCATAGAGCTTTCTCATGTAATCCTGAGTACATATGTCATAGAGTGAATGTTTTTCGTGTTCAGTAGTAGATATTACTATTGTTCTTTTAAGTACAATGGTCGGTGACATCTGCTTCCTGAGTTGCCTATTAGTGCAACTGTGAGCGGTCACAGGATGCTTATATCTACAGAGAAACCATGACAGTTTGGGCTGCATCACCTAGAACTCCATCCACACACACCATATCCAGTGTAAGTCTGAAGGGATATGATTAGGTGGTACGCGGATGGAACCCTCGATTGAATAAGACCACTCCCATACGCGTTCAAAACGCGCGTCATCCCTGTGAAATCAGAGAATCATGCATTTCAAACATAGATGAGATTATGGATGGGCGGTAACCCATTCCATACTGTATGGAGCAACTTTATGAGCTTAGGACCGTCACAAATGTTGTGCGTTTCGTCTCTTCCTAGCAACGATTAACGGTCTCCTAGATCTAGTGATCGACGTGTCGGTTTTCGACACATGGACAACGTCTTAACCTCCGCGTCAGACGCAACCAGATACCGATATGGATAACATATGAATGGGGAGGATAGTTCCACATTGTTTGTGACGGTTGACATTTGTGGGGGGAACTATTTCATGTGTTAAATATTGTATAATTGAATACTAATAAAGAACCCGTAAAAAAACTCATCACTAACTACCAGGTACTTCTGTTCTAAATATAAAAGGCACTTTCATGCAAGACTGTCAGATTAGCAACTTCGGTATACCTAATAGTTATTCATTAGTTGAGCCACTCCCAAGAATCCGGCAACTTAACCGCTCAACAAGTGCTGTTTACGGTTTTGAAGACTCCTATAGGGATGAAGGAAAAATACCTATAAGAATACATAAAGGCCTTGATTAATCACTTCACAGCATAAGTTTCAACAAAATTTCTTGTTTTTCATATTTGGTAAGCCTATGCAAGGTTTAGTTGTATTAGGAAATTAATAATAGCAATATACGTGCCAAGCTACGTACGTAAAAGTGATTGTGTAGTAAAACAGGTTTCCTGTACATCCCTCGATCAGCTCAGCAGCCATTCCTACCGCCTCAGCCCTCGTTGTGCAAAAACAATGCATATAACTTTCTGTACACGGCACAATACGTGCAGATCCGGTTTTACACTCTTAGCTATTTCATCCCACCTGCTTCAACTTATTACTTTACTGCTCTATAATTCGCTATGCAAGAATGTATTGGCCTATTATCTTCGGAATTACGAGTGAAATGTTCCCTTCGTATATAGAAGCACCAGATCACGTCATTTCCCTTATTTATCGGTCATGATCACCACTTTGTTAAGAGCGGAAAAAACAAATTAAATTAGTCCTCTTTGCTCACCTGTTGATCCTCTTTCTAAATCTATCAATTTTCTCCCTTCTTTCATTTAATATTTTACTGCTATGAGACGGAATAAAAAGCATAACTATATAAGACCCCGTGGTGGATATGCAAAGGAAAAGTGCGATTAAAATGTTCCAAGGTGGAACGTGAATTATCAGTGCTTCACCCTTCGCAATTTATCTCACTGTTGCTTAGCGTTTATCACTAATACGAAAGTGTAACAGTCGAATGTCGCGATGTCTGGCGAGTTGAGCACGTTTGTTGGTAATACTTCTTTCGTGGGAAGGATGAGATATTGATAATGATAGCTGGCTACTGATAATGCGATTCAGAGGCGTTAGTAGATTAATGATTAACGTTGCGACATGGAATGGATATGGACACGATGCCGAAGTTATCATTCAGTATGAAAGCGACAGTGGGGTGCACCAAAAGTTGTAAAATCCCTCGAAGAACTTCACCTGAGCTGACGTTAAATAAGGTCGCGGAAACGGGCGTTAGCTCGAAAATGCCACTTTAATTAAGTACGCTAAATTTTGTTGCAAACACGACTGTAGGCCCAGCCTAAATCTCGAACGATGTTACGTGAACCCAAAGATCATCTGTTCCCCAAACAAATCTATCGTGTGGCGGACTCTGAGAACGTTTCTTTCATCATTTAGAGCACTTTAAGCGGAGATAGCATGCTTTTGTACAGAATATAAATAGATACCTTTTCTTTTCAACGTACAGACAGAAGCGTGAAGTGTATGCCCGTGTGTTCTTACGGTTTCTAAAACAACCAATTCCATGCATAAGTTTATGGAGTGATAAAAGCTTAAACCTTTGTCCGCCTATTAATAGTACATCCAAGTCGAACTATGTTGCCATTTCCTTTAGAGTAAGGGGCTGCGGCAAGGAAAGGAGGTTTATAAGTGCATATCAAATTGCGATCGTTGCAGCTTCGCGCTGAAGTTCCCAGATAGTGGTGTGATATTCAGGTAGCCAATGAGCGCCGACCAAGTGTGCAACAGTAAATCTTGTGTTACTGACAAGTGCTGTGGTTTATCCGAGTTTGGTCGCTTCGTAGTGCATTCAAACTGCTTGATACAATGAGCTTATGCAAAGTAGCCTTGGATCATAGCACAAAGATACTCTGAAATTGACGGAACCCGAAAGAAAGTCGTCATATAGAGTTACTTTTAACGCCAAGTGGCTTGAATGTAGACCTGATGAGTACCCGTTCTTTTGCCAAAGGGCACTTTTCCATACAAACACTAACTTCAAATCACTACGCAATAAATGCATTTTGCGTGGCGATGTTGTGGACAGGGTATGAGTTCCATTTCCCTCCTTTAGACCGGCAAATATGCCGCATATGTTAGGACCATGTCTACAAAATATTGGGCCTGTTTTTGCGTACCTGACTATCCAGTCGATTATCCTATTGTTTTATGCATTGCTCACGCCCAAGTTGAGTCTTTTGTTCTTTCCCATTGCACGATAGCCATATAACGCATTTCCTCTTTGCGAAACTGATATGTGCCCGTTTTGCTTCCTATTGTTTAAGTAAAAGCCGTTTCTTTAATCGAAGATTGCGACAAGACGACGTTTAAGTAACCACCCAGAGATTTCCGTCTTCCTTACGTTTCGTGCTGCACATCTAATAGTTGAGCACTTCTAGTCCATTCTGAGGTTGTTTTTGCCTCCCATGTAATTTCCCTACAAAGGACATAAACTTGGGACTTAACAACCATTCATCGATGATGGCATAAACTGCGCACTTTCTACGTTTTTTTATTTTGTAGGATAAACCAAGCTATATTATTCGGAGAAGGAGCTGGAGCGAACCTTTTATCAAGAGTAGCAGTGAGTCGTTGTTGTCCTCCATACAAATACAATACTCCCTTTTCACTGGTACACCCGTACTGTGTTAAGCAACTGACAGAAATGGTTTACGATAGATTAAGTTTTCTTTACGAGTGAACACGTGCACCGTGGTAACGACAGTGGTGTATCAAAAAGAGTTAATTAGAGTAACACAACTTGAGAAGGAATATGTACCCTGAAATATGTCAGCGACTTCTTTTTTGCGTTAATTATATGAATGGCACATAAATTACAGGGAGCTGAAACTTTGTTCCACTTGCAGATACTTTGTGATTCCCGAGTGCTTGGTTTGCTACTCATACACGGACGCTGCACACCATCTGGGCCATTGAATTTACTACGCGAAAAGGTATGTTGTTTTGACTTTAACTAACAGGTTATTGTTTATTGCCCAGCGGCAGTCTCCGCGTCAAGTGTTCACAGTGTATATACTTTTGCTCAAACACAGGGCACCGCACGCCAAGATATCCGATCTGTCCTTGTGGGGACACTGGATGGGGCAGGAGCTAGCATCTGATTGAGTTGAAACGCAATACACGATTTCATCAACGGGTTACGATAACAGCCGTTATTAAGTTTGCTTCAGTAAATTACTTTAATTAAGCCGTGTCATCTCCTCCAGCGACGAACTGTTCCGTCGATGCCTAAACCAGATTTTATACAGACACAAACCGAACGGACAGCTGGTTATTATTAGCCCTAGGGCCGGATTTGCTACAACACAGTGTTCATTATTTTCGGCTTGCTGCCTGATCTAACAGCGTTGCGTGTAACAAAGTGATGGATAAAAGAATGTCATTTTTGATATTCAGATCATAAGACAGCACTGTGTACGGACATCGACCGATAACAAGTATTTATGCAGGGTAAGCTGGTCCCTGCAAACAACATCTTAGGTGCGGGGCTGCATGGCCTCCGTGCCCCTAGTTGTCCGATTTTCCAACGTTTGCAGCGATAGGGTCTTTCAAATTACAAGCAGAATGACGGTAGCACAACATTCCCGGTATTGCATCGTATCTGAAAGAAATGCGGAAATTGACAGGTGAAAGCTATTTTCGTTAACGGTAGCTTCTTCAGTGGCCACATCAGTAAGTAGAGACGCCGACATGGAGATTGGTTTATCCCCCTCAATTCCCTGCCTCCGGCTATACTTCCTTTCAATCAACAATTCTATCACATTTTCTAATGGCTTTTGTTTGGTTATCTGCTTGTCTTTTCCGAGACCATTTGAGCATCCCTAATTGTTCGGATTGCAGTTTGCTTCGAGACAGTCGGACAGTTCTGAGTACTTATAACCAAAAAGCACTCTTAGCTAAAGTTACTCGGAATGTCTAGATTTACAGTGTACAAGGTGTAATGGGCACCTAATCAGCCGACAAGTCAATGGTATCTGTCATGTAGATCAGAGCATGTATCTCAGATGTAAACCCCACCGCAAAGGATTTTAGGCTGTATGGGGTTCTTAAATGCTCACTGAGGTTAGTATTTTCATATTTGATTTGAGACTCACGATGAGATGTTCTGCACTGTTTGGCTTTATCATCAAGTAAACTCTGGTCAAACTACGGCGAAACAGACAGCTGTGTTTCATGCGGATCGAACCACCAAATGTAGCAAGAGTAGTGGTTCTCAACCTGCGGCTGTTTCTCCCTAAAGGAGTAAAATGGAATTTGACGTGGGTAAATTTAAATACAGGGGTTGGGTCATAAATCTATTGCCGAAAATAGTTAATAGCATAATCATCTATATCAAAACATCTAACCAACTAACTAATCAGTATTGTGTAGCCATCAATGACTAATCCTTAATGGGTGGTCAGTGAATTAGTTAATTCCCGTTGATAAATTTGATGGCCTTAGATACAAATACAACCTTGCAAAGCAGCGTAGTTAGATGGCACCTCTATCGGCTCGCTCGTCGATCTTTGTTCTTTTAACCCAAATCCTCGTTCACCGGGTCAAATTACCGAGCTGCGTGAAAAAAAAGCTGGTAGCATAGGTCAATCGAGCAGGTAAAAGAGCGAACGAATGTTTACAATGTAGAAGAAACAAAACAGGTGATTAGTGTTCAAAAATTATGGATACAGAGTTGGCGTGAGAAGCTGTTACCATAGAAGGTTTGGTAGAAATTGGTAGAACTAAGCAACGTCAATCGCCTTATTAATGTATATTACCTCTTGATCTAACAAAAAGCTGTACAAAAATAGTTGTTTTCTTTACTTGAATCACCGATAGTAATTCGAAATGGTAATCATTTTCTGTAAGTTGGAACAAACAATACAGTTGTTAATATGCAATTGCTTTACAAACTAACACATTTCTGGGCGTAAATGTGCATAGTAAAACCGCTTTGTTGATAACATCCCCAAAATGGCGGAGTACCACTGGTCTAGAGCCCAGTATTGTTGACACAAAATATTCGTGCACCATCCATTAAAATTTCAACATGAACGAACTGTTTCATGCCGAAGGATCGCGCCTATCAAAAAGATGGATTGACTCATCAGGTTTTAAGATCTTGGCTAATTGATTATAAGCCAGCTGATAAACTAACGCCATTTTCACTCCATATGTTGTAGAACTATTCACAGCAACAAGAGTCACAAATGGCATCTTGCTGTCTACTTCGGCATTGATAGCGCGGTTGCAGTGCTTTCAACTGCTTGTGCTCTAGGGCTACCATTTTACTACCATCCTTATTTTATCTGTTAGTCATGAGTACCTTATCCAACATCTGAAGCACATTATCCACTTCGAGGTGGTCACGTTAATCTTTCCATACCAGTCGTGTACTGGCCAGTCATAAGCATTCCGAAATACACTGGATTGTGGGGTTTCGTAAATTTACCGGTAGTCGGAGTTTATACGGGAATAACGTTTGCACCGACAGATCGGCTACACAATTGATTTTGGTTGCGTCTTGATCACCCTTACTGTTATGTTATAGGTGGTTCATTTCCTAGTTCCATCTCAATGCAGGGTTATATTCATTTTACTGCCCAGTCTTCTTGATCCTTCACTGCTTAATAAACCCCATCGCTCTCCGTAAGCTTCAGATTTTTATTAAAGGCAGTCATGGTCGGAAAATTGGCGTGAAATGAGTAACATAGATACATCCCCAGTAAATAAGGTGTTGACCGGAAGTCGGTCTATATTTTTACCTTTTATTTCGTCCCTACTCGATATTGTGACTTGCAGTATTACCAATACTGTAGAAGGCCATTGAAAAAACAAAAGGGAAAGCACCAAACTCAACGAAATAATAGGATCACTAAAAAGAAAAGATTGCTTTAGTTAGCTAGAGAGTGCATACATTCTGGTTGTCTGAATGCGTTTTGAAGTGCGGGACACAACTGACACTTAAAAGCATAAAATGTGAAGATTGACTATAATGTAGAGATGAACGACTGGCCTTAGAGGGCTATATCATTTTGTGGGATGTTTCTTTATGTGTCCGGAAGTGTGGAAACATCTGGCGTAATCGAATTGTGGGCAAAGTGAAAAGACACTATTTTGCACCGTATCTTTGATAACACACGGTTCAAAAATACCTTACATTTAAATGGTCTGTAGAATTACATGAATAGGATAAATCTTGGCCTTTAAGGTGCTGGAAAAGTATAAAACCATTGGTGACACAAACAGTATGTGCCCACATAAAAATGACGATATAAAAACGATGCAACTTTTGGCTAAGGAAATTATCGACCCATGGGTTACCGGGAGAATCAGTGTCCCTGCTGCTGTGCACTCTTCAACTGAATTCTTAAAATAATCCCCACCAGCTGGTCTCTCATCTGAATAAACGGACTGTAAGATTAAAAGCGCTTTTGCGTAAGTTTATTTGAGGTGCCGATTGTGTAAGTTTATCACGCTTGTAGTCTTAAATGGCAAGGTAATTAACTTTGAAATAAACCTCTATCTGATCGGTTAACTAGACCTTATCTGTTGTATGTTGAGCGTCCGCAACATTGCGCTCCATCATAAGTCACATAATTGTTTATAGTCGTTGGTTGGGGTTAGCCAAATTGAGGCCCTAACCATAGACGTACATATATCCTTTACTCTTGCACTTTCGAGAATGTCACAATCCACACACGCACAACCGGTACTTCAAAAAGTTGTAATAAGTCGGTGGCCGTTACCTTGACTCGATTCCCTATTCGGCTTTTCCTGCCTGATGCATGTAAACGGAAGCGAAACCCGTCTTGCAATGTGGGGTTGAGAGCAGATAAATACCAATGTTTATCCGGCATTTGCTTTGCTATTGTGTGTTTCCGCCGAACGATGCATCCCACATTGTGTAGGCAGGTGTGCGACTGAATAAAGACAAAGTGTATTCCACCTGCTTCATCATGGGTTCGTAATAAGCGAAGCTGCAAGCAAAACTTGAACTGTCCGCCGAAATTGCCAATTTGGTTACAGAAATTCATCATTAATCTTGGTGACAACGTTGGTGTGTGGTGGCATTTGTGTAACACACAGCCACGTACCAATTAGGTGATCTTAATAGTCGACGAACATCTGCCATCAGAGTGCAGACGTCTACGAGTCTGAATGGACAATCCTAACAACCGACGTTCCGATTTAATCATTAGGATCAATTATTCGTCAATTGATTTAAGGGTTTTCAGCTGGCTGTATGCAATCTTAACATCTTCGATCGTGTTTAACGCCTGTTCGCTTGACGAGATGAGGGTCGAGAAAGGTTCATTAAGCCTAATGAGTTGGAAAGACTACATTCCTCTCGTGTTGACTACGTGGACTCCCTATTGCAATATAAATTTTCTGGTACAGCCGTACTAGCTTTTCTGCTCAGCAGCTACAGGCAGTACGGCTGTTACAGGCAGTACAGCTTTCATTTTGGATTGAACCTATTCCTTTATGTCAATAAAGAGTTTCTCTCTGTCACTCTCGGTTAGTAGGCTTCGCTTACAGTTATTTGACGTAGATAAGTAAAGTCCCCGTGACCGTTATGCAGTACAGATGTCATGAAATTGTTTTTATTACACACTACGGAAATGCAACTTATGCGATCTTTGGTCCGACGAATTTATTGAACAATTGCATGTAAAAAAGAGATTGAAATAAATATGTAAAGAGTGGTTCCATTAGGATGTGACTCAGGATCTACTAGATATTGCTCTTCATCAGGAAGCAGTCTCCAACTAATACAAATCGAATGTCCATTCTCACCTTGGAAACATGGTCCAGGAGAGGACGAGTTGTCTGTACACCTCACTGTGTTGTTCAATTCCATCTTACTCTGTTTACTCTCCAAGTTCTAAAAATCGTATTTCTGCATCCATATGGTTACATCACGAAATCGCAGTGTGGTATAATTTCTCTAGATATCATGCAGTCACACACTACGCGGCTAATACGATCCTTTAGAAGACCAATTGGCCTTCATCTAACTCACGGTGTTGTGACAAGCCAATTGATAATTATGTAGGCGAAGTGCCATCGCCCCGTATCCAACTGTGATCCTTCCGACATTAAGTTCTCCGACTACGCATGCTTGGTCCACCACAAGGTTTGGGGAGCTCTGATTATTTACTCAAGCCTTTAGTGCCAGCTAATCGCTTACTTAGTCTCGGTGTTATTCGTCTCTAAGCCAATTGACTGTGAACCAATCCATTCCATAACTTAATTGGTTGAGTAGACAATTCAGAAGACTTGAAAACGCTGTTCACGAACTCTGGCGCTTGCGGTCCGTAGCATGAAAGGGATTGCTGCAAGTTGGCGCAACATTTCCTATCGGTCATTACATTCTTAACAAAGCCCGATTTACTGATTTCCTGCTACTCATCAGTCACACAGTATAATGCTCACCTCTCCGTTGACTTGTTTTCACTTCATTGGAGTTTTGCTTCCAAACATTTGCCAGAAAATTTCTAAAGCTAGTATGTCAATGTTTTAAAGCGACCGTACACATCCCAGTAATCTATTTTATACACAGCTTAAGTGTACATGAGGTATTGATTTTCATACTGAGTTTATGCTTCTTATACCTTCTGGTCCCAAGGCGTACCTAAGCTTATTGCTCTTTTAATAGATGCGTAACTGGAAGAGCGGCAAGTTAGAACCAGCCACCGAAAAGTACTTACTAGAACATCGGTACAGTACTGTAAGTTATTCGCCCATTTCACATTCCTTTTACTTCTCATTAATTTTGAAATTTTTGGACACGTGGTGATTTGTTTGTTACCATTCTAACTTTTTGCAACTCTCCACCCTGGCGGTCAGAATTAGAAAGCATTATCTAATATTTTTAGATACATCTTATTGAGTTAGATGAAATTTATCTGAACATGTCTTATCACCCTACAAACACATTTGTACAAGTTCCTTTTCTCCACGAACGAATGATCTGTTGAACTATCAGTGAACGTGTCAATTTATAAGCCGTAAAACCCGTTGAACGTCTTCGCAAAAGCTTTCACACAGGTAACACGCTTATCGGACCCGTGCACAGTGTGTGCTTGGTCAATGTGTGTTCCTTCCTATATCTCTTGTGCTTGTCGATTTTGTCCGCTTCACAGCACTGTATCTGCTACAGTTTTCCCCATGGGTTTGTTTAACCATTCGCGCATGACGCAAGCAGGTGAAATGCTCTGCAACACTATATGTTTGGTAGTATTATGTATGCAGTTGTGTGTATTAGCTCCCTCGCTTCTGTTGGGAATGCCCCTGCGACCTATCTAAATATGCCCTTAATATTTTCCAAAGTTTTTTTAAGGTATTCATCCCAGAATTATTTCATGCGCATACAAAGAAAATACTTGTATTTGTACTTTTTGATTAGGTATCCGAAACAGGGCTACCCGAAGCACTGAAACAGGAATTACGTTCATACAAGGAAAACTTGATATCGAAAGCGAACATAAAGAACTTGAACTTGTTGACATATTCTTATGCTCAGTAAGTGTTATGTCTATATCCTGTTTGATATTGCATGGTACTGCTTCTTCTAACTTCGCAGAAGCGGCTAATAAACGGAGAGGAGTGCGATTCACTCGCCCCGCGGGTAACTTACACACATCAAAACATCAGTAGCTGTACCTTCGCCACATGAAGAATCAACATCATATATCGGCCGAAAAGGCTGTTTATACCCAGACCTACATTTGTATACCAACCGGCCGATGTATAGCAATATTGGGCATTTATTCAGCGCATCAGGCTGAGATATTGATAACCACTTTCCCACTTGTACCACTGAGTTCCGACAAAGGTCGGAAATGCAATTCCGTTTATCAAGCGTACATTTCGAGGCCAGCGATCACATCACTTTACTTGGTGCAATTTCCAACCGTAGCCAATGTAGTATGGCAGTGACAGGATTTGATGCTGCACCTCAACTACTCCTTCTCTTTCGCCAGCGCTAATCCGATTGGCCTAATTCATCTTAATTTTAATCATTTGTATTATAAACACTTTCCTGTATTCGCAAGGTTTTTCGCTCCACAACTGTGATCTCATTCTAACATTTTCACATTTTGACTAGAAATCGTGATCCATGCTTCATATGATAATCGCCTGTGGGGTTCAGCGTTTACTTTAACTGTTTAAACGACACTGAGACCCTAACCACTTTACCCTAGCTCCGGTAGGAACACATCCTCGGGCACAGAATAAGTCACTTGTTCAACCACAAGCCAGAACGTATGTAACAGCACATGCGGTGTGAGAGAAGTTGCGCCAGTACTAATTATCTTTTGCTCGCTAGAAAATTGGGAACAACCACACTAACACTCAAAAGGACGCCTGCATAAACCATTGCGAATAAACCGGTTTGGTAAGGGCCATAAAGCGAAGCGACATCTAGCCAGCACCTATGATACTATGCTCATCATTTTGTTCTCTTCACTCGTTACTGAAGGGTTAATTTTGCGGCACATTGGCTGTGTTTACAACCTCCAACTAACGTTTATAATGAGCATGTTGATGATGATCGCTTGATTCTAATTTGCTGTTGGTACGCTTTCGGGTTTCCATTAACTTTGCAAGGAACTGCAACAGGTGATCCTTCTGGTTTGCTGTCGCGGAGCTTTCTAAGTTTGCTCATAAATACTAGGACACCCTGGGCAATAAACTTTCATTTGCTGTAAAGATATCGAGCATCGGAGCAATACACGATGTACAAGCGTTCCCTTGTAACACTTTCAAGCATCAAAAACTGGCATTTTATGTCCGGGAGATTGGTGAACCTACGGTATTCACATGGGACATCCATATTGGAACTGTGCAAATTGTAACTAGACGGGTCATAAGACGTAGGCTAAATTAGAGCCTGCGAACTGACAAGGAAACCTAAGGAACCCGGAGGAGTCTAGAAACCGGAAGGTAGGGTCTTTGCCATACTTCCGCAGTCTTTTCTGACCGGTGTGCATTATTCATCCCGGGTAAACATTCATCACTGTGACAAGCAATTACTACACCGGGGCCATAATTCACCGTAAGAAATGCCGCCTGGTTTGCTAAGCATGGAGCTTTGGGGATCAGTTCGTTTGGCTACCTGCACTTTCATCGCTTTTTCTCATTAGGTGGGAGTTGAACTATGTGCGTTTAGTTTACAGGTTCTCTCGAGTCGAAAGCCTGGAACGCAATCATGGCCTTCAGAATTTCCTGCTTTATTAGACAGAATCCTGTTATACTTCCGTTAATTAGCAATGATGTTCATATTGTTCCAAAAAGTTCCTCTAGCCTTTCGAGATGGCATGAAAAGGGGAAAACGTTCCACATATTTGGCGATGACGGCTCAACTCAAGTAGAACTGTTGAAGCATCTGTATGACGTTGGGGACATGACTTATTGTAACCCAGTCTCCACCACTGCCTTAATTTGGAACAAAAATCTCAGAAGGGAGAACAGGCAGGTCTTTGTCCATGATGGAGCTGCCTAATTTGGATTTCCAACCCTTGAAATCTACTCGAGCAGCTGCACTTGTACTGTAATCCGTTTGTACCCGTTCCGCGAATTCCAAGGCGCGTTCGATGCACTGATCAATCCCGTTCTGGGGTTTCTAGGAAATTTGCGAATATTTATTTGTTCCTTATTCCAATGGCCTTACTTGTTCTATGGACAGCTGGTGATTGCTTACAATTTTTTGATGACAAAAAGCACTCATTAGACCTGCTTCATTATCCACGCCCCTTCACTTTCACTGTAGATTTTATCATAGAGTGTTCTATTATGGAGGCTCCCAAATCAGGCAGTGCAATACCACCGAGGTTGATTTGGTTGCGCTAAACCATGCAGATGACCTCGTCTCATCACTCAACAAAAACAAATGTAAACAGTCAGCCTCGTGAACAAACTACTCGGAAAGGATGTTCTGCTGCGAATCGAAAATCAAAGCGCAAAACGTGATACGCGACGAACCACTAAACTGACCGCTTTAGCCGCGGGCGAAAATAAGCAAAGCTCACGGAGGGCAAGCGGAAGATCTCACTTTTAAATCACCTTCCCGTTGATCGCGGATGCTCGATCAAATCAGCAAGATTGTCAACTGCGCATCACCGCACCGATGTCTTCGCTTCGCACAGTGGCAATACTTATGCAACCATTTTACCAAGCTCGGTTAACCAATCAGCATCTGAACAAGCAACCCCGGCTACCAGCGTTTCGAATTATTTCGAACAGCCACCTCTGTTCCAATCAAATGAAAAGATCTAGTCAGTTCGAATGTGTTTCACACCGTGGGAGTGTCCTAAAATACTACAGGACTCTTAGCCGAACTACTGATAATTATCAGCATGAGATGGATGGCAATTTCATTTAGATTGAGCGGTATTACTAGTGAAGGTGCCGTACGGCTGAGAGTAGCTCATGAACTTTAGAAATCAAGGCTTACTTCCAGAAGCTGCCACACCTCTAGGGCCGGGAAAGGATCTTTCTTTCTTTCATGGTCATACATACTTAACTATAATGAAGGCCGTCCTACACTAAAATGGTACATAGGTTCTTCGATATGATGATCTGATCCGGTGTCACCATTGGTTTTTCTGTTGTCCTTGCTACCAACTTGTTGGCAACGATAAACTGAGCAGTGACAGTAATCGTCAGGTTGGTTCCTAAAGTCTACAAACCAGCCCGAATAAGTAGTACAGATTAAGCTTGTGCTCATATATCTACCCAGAATGGCCACATTTCTTAACCTGATTTGGGCCAATGTAAGGCTCATGGGGTACAATCATTGATTTCGCAACGCGAATGAGAGCATTAACCACTGGGTTGGCACTGTTCTTTATTCGTCCTGATTTTCTCACCAGGTTCCAGTCAATGGATCAGGTGCGCTTGATCAAGTTGCAACAGGATACCATTCTCGACTTGCTTCGGTGATATGTTTTTCTTTCGGCTCCTAGTAGGACTGCATGTTTGAACTTCTTTACATTAGTTCCCAAGTCAGATAGTCTTTTACTTGCCCGGAACAGTATCAAATGGCCGGTTCTTCCAGTAGGGACTCGTCAATAGTGCGTAACCACCTGATCCATTAGGACCCGAACGCATACCCCTTTACGTCTTGTCTCGTTAGCCAGCAGGCTATGATGCTAAGATCCCACTATGTCTGTGCCGATCTCCTTGTGGAATAAGGTTGATTGTGACGCAGAGCATTGAAAACTGCAAGTAAACAGTCTCATCAATACCACCCAAGCAAGCAAGTAGTCGTCTGCGGCTACACATTATTAGGGTGTGATAGCATCTTGATCCTGAATGTTTACTTGGAGCATTTATGTTTTATACTGGGTCATAAGCCACCTGGCATGTGATCTACGGACCATCGATTCGATCGAGCGTAGGTGTGATTGACCTCAAGACTGCCCTGCACATTACCGGTTGTGACTGCATGAAGTATAGGTGCCCGATAGGTGGTGACGGGGTGCTGCGGAAATCTGTCTGAACCAATGAGGATTTTGTAGTAGGCACTGATTTACCCCTGATACCGTTGACGTTTGCTAATTTACAGGCCGATTTGTTCTCGTTGCTGGAACTTAACCTTCTGCATATATCCATTTGCACACTGGTCGTACTGAGTCAACCCAAATAGTTGGATGAGAGACGGTGCCCCAAGCAAGTGCGAATAAATGAATCTAGTCGTAAGAACTCTTAAAACGCGTGCAGCTCGTTGTTAACTGTGCTCTGGCCTACAGTCTGCATTCTTCAAGTTAGCCTTCAGGTTATAGGATATTAGTCCGCCAGCTTCCATCGTCTCACCAGCTTTTCTGATCCCGGTCACATAAAGCCCAATACATATGCACCATGGCCCATTTGCATTGGTTTCCATAATTCCACTAAGGTGTATGCGTTTAGTATCTGCATATGCAGTTTTCACCGCTTTGAACCAATAGCTGAGCAATTCCGCTACTGTTGTGTCGAGAAGCGTAGTGATGTAACAGTCAAGCGGATGGGGGTAGTGGGGGGTCTAAGTAGCGCTTAGTTTAATTTGCGGCATCGGTTTCCGGAGTCACCTGTCACTGCGGCCACCACAGCACGTCTGCGCATACAAAGTAACCATGGGCAGCTTACGTGGAACCCTCCACAGCTGCATCCACAGACCGCATATTCAGTATAAACCTGAAAGAATAAGACCAGGAGGCATGTGGATGGAAGCCACATTTCAACAACGGAGTCGACCCACACTCTTTCAGCGTGCACAGATGCAGCATTCCTTTCCGTCTAATTTTGGAATCACACGTAGTAGACACACACAAGCCAGGGGTCGGGCCGTAGCCCGATCTAGATTGGATGCATGGAACCTGTAACTGAGCCTTGCACGGTCACCAAGACAGCGCACCCCGTCTCCCCAAGCAATGAGCAACTGTCCGCTAAAGCCAGTATATTCCAGGTAGCGAGTTTTTGACAGCTAGACACCTTGACAACATTTACACCAAGCGCAGGCACACCTGCGATATCAAACAACCAACATAGAATTTGAAGGAAAATAAACACGCAGCATTAACACCGAATATGCGACAGAACAACGGAACTGAGCAAATCAAATTAGGTGGAATGCATTTTATCCAGGTTAAGAAGCTCTAGTTTAAGTGTAAGCATCTTTAGCTCAACTGCGGTGAAGAAGCATGATGTATGTAACGTCAACCTCATTATGAGGTATGTACATATCGATAAAAGCATGTTCGCCTAATAGTTAAACATATGTTTTCACTCCCCCGACGGTTATTCCTGTGTGTTTGACCAAAACAGCTTTCCCACTATAGAACTGGCTACGACCCAGCCGTCACCATGTCTATGTTTGATGCGAATGAGTGATCCAAGCTTAGATGATTGAGCATCGCAGAAATTGCCTGTCCGCGCTTTTAGTGCAGGTTGCATCCGCAGTTACTGGATATTGGAATGGGATTTGGGTAGCTCCACGTGAAGGGATAAGTGCACTGATTGAGTACCGTCCAATGTTTGTTTTCAGATGTGTGGCTTCTGTTAAGTGAATGGCGTATGACCGTATGCTGAAGTTTTAGCACCAATCCATATGCCGCAGAACTAAGTCCTTCAGGTCAATATCCTCATTATACACATTAGCTAGATGTGGGAAGCACCTCAGCTACTGTGCCGCAGTAGATAAGATAGGGAAATGCAACAGATGTAAGCCGGCTGAGCTACCAGTAACGGATGGGCATCGTCTCGGTAAGCTACCAGCCGGCCACTATGCAGCAACAATATTACTATGCAAAAGTTCATAAGGCTAAGTAGTGAGATCGTGGTTGGAGCGAGAGGCTAAGAAGGATGGGGTGGGGCAAAGAAACTCACAGCACGGACGCTATTGAGGTCGGCTTCTAGCCATGTCAGCACGTGTATCCATCCAAACGGGTTCCTGGTCTTTCGGAACCAAACCACGGCGCCGTGAGGCTGCAACTGAGGCCAGCTTCGGAGTAACGGTCTTCATTTCTCTTGCTTGGCTACCCCTCCTCTTTTCCCATCCAAATCCCTGGCGCGCAAACAACGTACGTCGCGGGAGTCGGTAGGCCAACATGCGTAACACGTGGCCGTGTCACCGAAGCCTGGTGCGTGAAATAACGTTGCTGAGTAGTGCACTTCTTTTTTCTGGGCCGTAAACAAGCCGTCGAACACGTCGGTTGCTCACTCAGTGTTCCCACCAGATGTGAGCTATATTGCGAAGACACCGGTGGTCGAAGGTAACTAGCCTGTTTATGTCCGTTGATCTAAGGGGCCAGGTTTCACAACCGTACAGTAGGGTCGAACGTACCGCTGCATTATACACTCTACCCTTCAGGGCGAGAGTGATGTCGCGCCGGCGCCATAAGTGGCGAAGGTTAGCAAAAGTGCATCGAGATTTTGCTATACGTTTCGTGATCTCTATACTTTAATCCCACGGGCGCTGATACAACTTCCCAGGTAGTTGAATTTTTGAGCGACTTCTAACTGATCCCCATTAAGGGTCAGCATAGGAGGCAGTCCAGATCAACCTTGGAGGAACGCTTTTTACTTCGAGGGTGCGGAGCAAAGCCCGAAGTGATGGACAGCCAATGCTAATCTGTCCAGTGTCTCTTGGTACGTTTGTAGCTATCACAGATTAGGGCAGTATCGTCAGGATGCTCCAAGTCAAGAAGTCGTTCTCCTGGGAGCAGATCCACACCTTCTAAGTCATGACCTGTGAACGCGATTTCCATGACTTCGTCAATAGCGAAGTTGAAGAGGAAAGATGACAGCGAACATTTTGTCCTACGCCGCTGGAGGTATTGAAGGGCGACGACAGCTGGTCACATTCCTTCACTCTGCCCATGCTACACGCGTATTATGGTCGGATAACATTTACATATTTCTCAGGTACACCTTTCCTGACTGGACAGTCCCAAAGGTCACCTCTATCCACCGAATCGAATGTACATTTGATATAGAGGAACACGACATCGGTTGGTGGCCAATGTATCACGATACTCCATCTACTGACAAGTCCTTCAGGGACAAACCTTTATTCGGCAAAATAAATTCATCTATAATTACAGCATGTTTGGTAAGCCAAACTCCTCGGTATAAACTGACCGTTAACTTTCATAACTAATGACACTTACGAGCCTAGGGGGTCTCTCCGAAGCAGTTGAACAAACGGCGTGGTGCCCGCACGAACGTCCGTCTATCCATGTCCAGTGATCGAATCGGTTATGCCTGTCTCCCCTTGGTTGTCTAGCTCGTTCATCTGATCCACCCGTACACTCTGGTAGGACATTCCTTTCACATCAGCAACGATCGTTTGTTACAGTGGCAGGGAAAACAGGATCGACGGTTAGGTATCAAAATTATGTTCCATCGGATAGCAACGCTCACTAGCATTGCATAGCACACTTCATGACACCTAGCAACATTTAACAACCGATGAGTAGCGCTAAATAAGTAGTAAATGTCAGCATACCATTAGGTTTGAGCAATTTCATTACATGACCCATGACCTGCGCTTTTTCTCCTTGCTTTTTCCAGCCGAAAGAGCATGGCCGAGATGCTTCACCTTTTAAAGTAAGCACTTCAACAAACCTATTTTCCCAGTCGTTTGTTCTCTCACGTTCATACTGTGAATAAGGGAGCACCTTACATTATTGTGTGATGAACGTACCCGGCGAATCATCTGGAATATTTTCACCTGGGGACATTTCTACGTACCATTTGCATTATCCTATGATTCACGTCTCTGTTATCGTCCTTGTCACCTTAGATTTCTATAGTCTGAGGTACACATTATGCCGTGGCTCAGATAACCTAACTAGGATTTTGCGTCCATAGTGAAACGATGTCCAATAAATGTGCCGACTGTTGTTTCAAAACCTTTCTTTGCTCATAATCCCTCAATTAGTTTCCAGTGTTCTCCGAAATGTTAATTACCTGTCATCTACTTTCTCCACTTCGATGATCCCCAGTTGCCCAGTTTTGCTCATCTCTGGCACCATGTCTGACCACCGAGCCGGAGTACGAAACATGTTTGAAACCATCAACAAAGCGAACAAAAATGTGACAGACAGCCGCATTGACGTGGAACTCATTGAAATAGAGGGTGTCCGAAGCCCTTTAGTGGAAAAGGTGAGCTCGTGTTCCCACACTCCCTCCTCGATACCTTCTCTTTGGAATTAAGGTTATAAAGCAAATGCTATTGTATCTGACTGACAACTCTCACCGACCGCCCTACCGCAGACACTTGTTGATGGGCTGCTGTCCAACGTACGCTTGTGAGATAGGAATCTAATGACCACACAGCAGGGTGTGGAGTAGGTGCGAGCAATTCCCATCAACGCAGAGACCGTTTGTTACACCTATCTTATTCTTGGTCCATGCAAACACTGGTTCCCAATCGCAATAAAAGGGACATAAATTTGCGCGTTATTTCACATGAGTTTATGACCAATTTTCGCGAGCTGGTGAACATTACTTTCCACCTGGAAACATAACTATCGCATTGTTTGATGATGAGTTACAAAAGCACAATCACATGCTCCTCACTGCCATGAGTTTTCCATCTGTCCCACACTAATGTTGCCTTTCCGTTTACCACTTGAACCAGCAAATGTGTTGGGATTTGTATGCTGAACGCATGAAACCAGAAAACAACCATAATTGCACGGCCAATTGCTATTAGACAACATAACAGCGCCCAGCAGTCTCAAAAGTATATCTTTGTTCGGCTAATTTTTGGTGCTATACTCACCTCAAGGAATAAGCACAGACACCCCACCTGCAATGCTGACTAGCATATTCAGGGCCGGAATTAACACCAATTCTCTGGTCGCCTCGTCTCGGTGTTACTTTCCTCTCCTCCTCTACCAGAACTCGCCCTATTTTCTTTTCTTATTTATCACGCACTTTTTACGAGGAAAGTTTTAACAGAGATAAGTAGTCTGTTCTGATGAAATTGGTTGCATGCTGTTAAAGCCAAATGCGCCGATCTATCGCATGGGACTCAGTTTAAGATTCTGTGCAGGTGTGAGTAAGTTCCCGATTTATGTTCTGCTCGAGGTGTGAGGACATTATCTTTTTTTGATTGTATCCTTTAGCCCTCTGCTTCCTATGGAAACTATTTCCTATTGTGACAGTGATACTCCAGTTGTGGCTCTTTCGGGATCAGACTATGGTTAGGGAGTTTTAGCTATCAAGGGGCCGATACAAAGCTTACTGGCGATGGTGTTGAACATGCATGGCGATTTCGTTGGAGCAGATGCAGCCCTTACTTCAACAACACCAGTTGTAGGTTAAATTTCAATGACAGTCGGTTGAGTCGCTTTCACAGAAGCTGGCTTCCAAACTGAAAATATGGGAATAGTTTCATGGACATCATTTGGAGCTATTCGCAGCAGCAATTTAAGAACTTGATATCGATGGATTGAGTTTCGAAAAATATGAAGCTTTTTTAATGGAACTGGATTAGCAATATAGTGCTTTGGAGGTGCGGCTGTTGTTATGAAAACTTGACGCAGCTGATTACAAAAGGTGCACAAATTTCGCTTTGCCGAGGAACGCATGCGATTCCAGTTTTGATGGAACAATGGTTTTATACGAGTAAAAAAGCTAATGCTTAACAAGTCCCGTAAGGCGGTTATTGTAAAACTAAAAAATATAAAAAATTGTTAGCAAGTTTGGGTTTACACCAATGAACTCACTGAAGTATACGTAGTATTGACTGTAAATCCAAGGTTAATCCATAAGTAAGGATGGCAAATGGGATGTTGGTAAAAATTATGTCTCCTTCTGGTGTACACATAGGGGAGGTGAAAAGCTTGGAACGAAATCTGTGCTGTGATCTCCAGTGAAATCTCTTACAGACACTTGTGTTTATCCATGGGTAATAGGTCATGTAAGATAGTGCCGCGAAAGAATTGCACGGTCAACTCGGGCTTTGAACTCTACCAGCGTGGGAGCACAGGTTCCGGTAGGGCATTCCACGCACGGCGAATGCGTACGGAAGAGAAATTCTATGACATTTCAAGCGACTGTGTTACTCTGCCATTTTGAGATGGTGGCTTCTCAAATTGCTGTTGTGACTGATCTCTAGTAAAAAGCGGCACGTGTGTTTGGGATCTCTCAAAATCTGGTACGTCAAAATGAGGTCCCCGTGCAATCGCTGATACCGGCCGCTGAAGAACCCGAGTACTTTTAACCTTCGTTCATGCGGCAAATTATACAAAGCCTTGACATTGTTGGTTGCCCGGCGTTGGGCTATCACCAAGGCCGTGAGATCTCTCCTCAGCCATGGTTGCCAGACCTGTATTGCGTATTTCATATGTGGCCGTATGTATGAGCTGAGAAGTTGCGGAAAAATCGAAGGGCCGAATCATCCAAATGCACATTTCAGGAGGCCCACCTGCTGGATGCCCCTTCTAGGCACCGTTTAAGCCTGCTTCGAACATTCTATGTCGACCTGGACAAAAACGCCCAGATCCTTCTCGCCATAAGACGTTTGAAGTTCCGTTGGTAGGAGTGCATCAACTTCTGCCGTAGATGCAGTACTCTACATTTGTCCACATTGAATCTAAGTAGATTCTGATTTGACCGCGCGTATACCCTATCCAGATCAGCTTGAAGTACTGTGCTATGGTCTGGTGTTTTGATCACCCTCCACACCTTGATGTCATAGCATAAAGAAAGCGGTTCGAGCTTATGATGAGTGTGATATCGTTAATATACACCAAAAATAATCGCGGTCCTAGTGCCGATCCCTGTGGTACTCTGCATTCAAGTTGGATGGGATCTGACAGCGAATCACGCACACGTACTTCCAGGCGCCGGTGTAGAACAAAGTTTCTGATCCATTCTAGGGGAGGATCACCACTATCAAGGTCTGGAGTTAAAAGAGAAGAATGTTATGGTCTAACCGGTAGAACGCCTTTGAGAAGTCTAGGCAGACTGCATCAACTTCTGTGCCAGAGTCAACTGCTTCAGTCCAGCTGGATCGTGCTAGTAGTAGATTTGTAGTGCACGATCGATTTCGTGGGAAGCCATGCTATTCCGGTGCGAGGTAGTTAAATTCTTTCAAGTAGGCCGTTTGCGTATCATGAATAATAGCTTCCATGACCTTTGAAAGAACCCATAGTAAGATTATGGGACTGTAGTTGGCTGGATTGGAACGAGTATCTCCCTTATGAATCGGAGTAATTAACCAGTGTTTCCACCTGTCAGGCACGTACATTTCGTCGAAATAGTGTTGGAAGAATCGAGCCAACTACTCAGCTAAACTCTCTCCTACTGCCGCTAGCGATTTCGTGTAGGAATTATCAACTCCAGGATTAAGCCAGTGCTTTGTGTTCAAAAACAATTATCGGTCTGCCTCAGGCTGCCCTGGTTGCAGAACAAAGACACCCCTTTTTTCTCTCGTTTGTTTGTATGTCTGTACCCACAAACTGTTATATAGAATCACTGGTTATCGCTATCGGCACTTATGAGACGATACGAAATGCATGCATCTGCCGAACTTCGTCTTCTAACTGTGCTTTTCAAGTTACTAAAGGGAACTAACTGTTTTAAACTCCAGGATAGTTGTGCTTGCGCATCCTCAACAGCATTTTTAGTAGAGCATCTGCTGTGAAGTATATGTGAGTTTTAGGGTAAAACAACCATCGCCAGAGGGTCAGGTGGCCAGTGATCGCACTGAAAAGTTGCAGCATATTGTATGCACAGTGTATTCGAAGCCTCCTTCGCTGTCGGTGTTTGTCCGTCAGCTATTTGAAGAGGAGGAATTCCCCGTTTCACCTTAAGTAGACTGTTGGCATAGTGATACAGAAGCTTGTGGTTTGAGGCCATCCGCACTGCCAACTTTTGCTGGTACGCCATTCTGTCCTCACGAACAAGCTGAGTATAACGGTTGCGTTGCGTAGTATAGGCCATTCAGTTCTCGGTGCTTGGGGAGAGTTTGTAGATATGTCAGACTGAGTTTCGCATCGCTATACACTTGTGTGTCCTGCTTCGCAGAAACGAGACCACGTTTATCGGGCGGAATGTCTTAGTCGTTGGCGCTTCGGCAATCAGAGTGCTAAACTGGCTGACGAAGTGTTCCCATGCAGTAGTTGGTGCCTCGTCTGTCAGAAATCTCCAGTTGACTGTCTCACCTTGGGGAGGTAATATATCGTAGCGTACATACATTCTCGTCGCGTCGGCAAGTTCCACGAGATATCCGGCATAGCAAATGTATTCAGTGAGTAGTACTGCATAATCGCTGCGGCCCAATGGGACGTCGACGACTACCCTCTCGACCATTAGTTGTTCGTTGGTGCATATCAGATCCAGTATCGAAAGCTTATCTTTTTCTCGGAATTGGGTGCGAGCGTTGATGTGGCCATGCAACGGGTAACTGGAGACGAACTCTTGTAGATCGGCCTTAAACTGTTCTCCAGGAGCTGCATGGGATTCCAGAGCCTGGATATTGAAATCGCCAGTAATGAGAATGTGTCTGTAATTTTTTTTTATACCCTCCTTATTGCGGATGCCAGGTGGGAGTCCATCTACGTCGCGGAGGAAGCATGACGGTAAATAACCGCCACTAAGCAACTGTTGTCGCCTTTTAAACCTAAACAACCTGAAAAGGAATCTTGCACCGTGCTGACTGGATCCTCTATGAGCTCACTTTGGAGGTCATTGCGGAAGTACAGAATGAAGCGGATTTCTGGTGAACTGTTATCCTTGGCCAGCATTCGTTTAGAGCTGGTCCAATGGGATCCAAGACTGTCACTCACGCTTATATCGCGAATCGTTAATGCAAAGGTTTTAACCTTGGCACCATGACACCAGAGCAGTTTGAACTGCTTGTGAGATTATACAGCCTCTTATCCCATGGTGCTGTCGATATGGAAAAACGGATTATTTGCAAGTTGTAACAAGAGTCTGAGGTGAAACTGCAGAAGACTGAGGCTGTATGTCAAAGGATGATAAATGTTAAGCAGGAAAGCAAGTGGAAATTCCCGTTTCAACAAGAAAGCCCCGGATCTTCCACGCTACTGCTCATGTGCAAAATGGGAACAGCAATAAGCTGCCTTACAAGCTTCCAACTGCATTATGAGATTACGGTGCTGTCACTTCGCGAGATTCTGTAGATACAA